ACACTTCTATCTTATATAATTTTAACCAAGATTATTGCTATCATCAGAGTATCATTACATACTAATTATTATTTTTATCATTATGTACTATTATTAGAATCAAAATGATCATGATTATCATCATCRTCATTCATCATTGTTATCAATATTATCATATTGTACGTTCCTACCTCACATGAATGTGGTTTCTCATTTGAGTGAGAGATCAGGTGTGTCCTCAGATGATTTGCTTTGGTAAAGGTCTTAGTACATAAATCACACTTATGAGGTGCACGTCCAAGATGTTTTATTTGCTCATGCTCAGTACATTGATATCTACTGATAAACCCTRCATCACAGTACTGGCACTTGAATGGACGTTCACCTGTGTGAATCATTCTGTGGCTTCGAAGACTACCTGTGAAAAGAAAAAAAAATAATTGGATTGAAAATTAATACATATTTGCAGACATAATACTATAACTGAGATAAGTTACTGCATACTAATGTACGTAAAATCAGCCAATCAGAAATAAGTAAAATCAGAAAGAGAAAAAGTGATTAACCAATCATATAGTTGTGTTCGCATTCTGATAATTAGAGCGGATTTCGTATATGACTGTGCAAAAAACACGGTACTTTTGCACTGAGACTGTACCGTACCGTGTCAGTGTTGTGATCCGTGCCATTTGCAGAGTCATACGAAATCTGCTCTATTAAACCACTCATTAAAGGTTTTAACAGGTTGCACTGTTGTGGGTCTGCAACTTCCCACAAAATTGATCAATTCTCACCAAAAACCACGAAATTTGAAAAAATATACATATTAGTTAGTTATCTTGTAATAATCGTTAATCTTGGATGGCAAACAAGTGATTTTGAAGCCATTTAATAATATCCAGATATTTTGCACAATAAACATTTTCCTGTTTTTTTCCGCGAAATTTGCCTAWAAATCCCTGCAAAATTTAGATTTTTTTCCCGCAACCTGTCAGAACACCTGACTCATTGAACAAGTCTAGAGTTGTTTTTTTTTTCTTAAGGGTTGTAAAAAGATACAGTACATCTGTCATGAATAAAACAACCACTGGCAATGTGCAGAGACCAGGAAATACACTTGACCAAGTCCAGGACAGAACTGTTTTCTGCTGTTACTCCTGCTAATACTACCATGCGAGGAGGTTCCATGAACATGTCATGTGTTGTCAGTGATTGTGATTTGCACTTTTAGGCGAAGCTATAATCATATYAAGCCTATAATACTATCAAATAAATTGAAATATAATTAATTATAATGATTTTATGTGGGCACTGTACTGTCATGATTTTTTTACCTTTATGAGCAAGCTTTCTATCACAAATGTCACATTTATATTTCTTCTCTCCAGTGTGTGTTTGCATATGACGCCTTAAGTACTCCYTGTCTTTGAAGCCCTTCCCACACTGTTTGCAGCCAAATGGTCGATCCTCAGAGTGTGTTGCCATGTGCTTGTTGAGACTTCCTTTGTACACAAATTTYTTGTCACACTTATCACACGGGAATCTTTGAAGCAGTTCTAGTAAATAATTTAGAAATGAATATTAATTGTTAGAATTAAGGCTGTGCACAAACAAAAATTATCCGTAATTGACTGCCAAAAGTGGTAGTGCTGAAACCTGAAATTTGATAACAGCTGAAGCTTGCTCAACGTATTACAGTATGTAATTTAAAATTATCATATGAGTCATATATCTCCGTGCTTGCACTCTTAGAAAAATGGTAAGACAGTTTGGGAAGAATAATTATCTTTGGAAGAAATGACGTCATTGGGAATGTAAGTTAAGTTTTTTGGCATTTTTCAATTGGATCATAATATGATAAAATACTTATTGACTAGGTAAGGTTAGGTTGCACAATATTTGGCTCTTGATCCTTTGGATGGACTGACTGCAGCGACTTTGAGCAAAATATTCCCTCAAACTCAATAAGTCAATATTAAAAGTAACTGTAAATTTTACAATATATTATCATTTCCTGGCTTACTTTTGCCTGCTTTTAGAATTTGATCACATTCATCTTCATGGTTTAATACTAGATCACGCAACTCATCATCACAACTAATTTTTTTAATTTTACGGACAACTTTCTTGATGTGGTTGATAAGTCTTTCTTTTGACGGGTACTTCTTGCTGCAATGTTCACAGTAGAGAGTCTCATCTGGCGAAAGTTCTGTGATGTTGTGTTCTTCACTTAAATGACATGTTAGCTGTATTTTGAAGTAAAACYTTTCTAGGCAGACCTATGGAAAGAGGAATGAAGYAAATAAGAAATTGAATGAATTACATTTTATAAACTAGCAGCACGCCTGGCTTTTCTGTTGTTTAATGCAGGTTAGGGAAGACCCACAACAGGTTTCAGATTTTGAATGCAAGACCTTCAATTTTTAATTTCATCTAGAGAGCTCAAGAAAAGCATATTATGCCGTCTTCATTATATTCAGTAAAGCTAATGAGTAAAAATATAAACATCAATTGATACTTGCAAAGACTTGCCTATACAGTAATTACAATTAATTAAAGCATCAAATTGATAATATTAGGGGAAGTTTAACCTGACAAAAGAATCTCTTTGTGAGGGGTAATTTATTCAAAGCCAGCTTAATAGTAGTAACTTTCTCTTCTTGTTCCTAAAAGAAATTTTCATGATATTAAAATTGTTGACTGAAATGCAACCATGCAAATAAGRTGTTGATAATAAATTCATAGTGTAACACACATGAGGAAAGGCACAGTGYATACCTCCTGTCTCTTAGCTAGACGTTGGCTTCTTCTTTGGGTCAGGACAGCATCCTGGGCTTCTGACATGTCAGGGTCTACAGTAGGGTCATAGTCAGAATCATCAGAGCTTGATGCATCATGGTCAATTTCATTTTCCTCCCCTTCATCCTCCTCAGGCAATTCTTGCTCTTCTTGTGGTTCAGGTTGGGGATCTGCTTTTTTCTTCGGCTTTTTAATGCATTCTGAAAGGATGTGTTGGTAAATATAGGTTTGGAGTTCACATAGAAAATGGTGACATTGACTTATGCTAATTAAAGCTCCACTCAGTTTTGAGCAATCGGGATTTTGTATGTGCCTGCAATACAGCAATACAGGCATTAACTGTACAGCAGTTGTAGACGTGTGGTACATGATYGTGACATGTGACTTGGCATAATGATTTGTCTAGCCTGTSTACATCYGTTTCTCACCCCTCAAAAAATCGGGGAGAGAACGTCTGTGATTTGCCGTTGCTAATCGTGTTCTGACATAAATTTGCATATATAATGTGACATGCACGTTAGAGCTTGAGCAGGCACGTTAAAAGGTCAAGTAAACAATGGACCGTTCCGCAACATAATTCGAACATAATGCCTAGAGATTTTGTTTTTGTTTCAGCCATTCAATTCTAACTTCGACCGTGGTTTAAATTATTGTCTCTGCCCATTGGTCTATGCCGTACTCTCTCTATCTTCGGTAGTATGACATGTGTCTCGTCAGAATGTGGTTTTCCTGTAATTTGCGTCATACAATGACTTCCATCAACCGTACTAATATCTTCTTGTGAAGATTACGTTGTCCTCGGCAGTTTTGAAGCTGTAACTCTGGCGCTTTCGCAGGCTATTATGAGATGTAGAATACAAACTACTAAGCCCCCTTATCTTCTTTAGCACTTCTGACAAATGCAAGTTTTGTTCGTGAAGATTGGCGGCGAATTCTAATGACATTATAATTCCACATCAATTTTAAATTTACCCTGACCGAATATAAGATTAAAGCCTAAACTTTTACAGAGAATTTGAGAGCAAATAACATATTCAATTTGAAGCATTCTACATGTTCCAGTGGTTTACCATGAAGGCTTATATTTCACTCGTGTGACCAACTTTACACGCCATCTATTGATTTTGGCCAATCACAAGTCTCATAAGTCAACGGCCAATGAAATTCGTCCTCAAAATCTTGAGGACCTCAGAACACGATTAGCAACGGCAAATCACAGACGTTCTCTCCCCGATTTTTTGAGGTTTGTCAGAATGTCTTTAGTGAAAATAGCCATAGATAGTTGATTAATATGCAACATTCTCTTAGTATGCATGCATATTGTATATAATGCATTAATGCAAAGCAATGTCCATATTTGTTGTTGGTTAATGAAAGTTTTTTCAATTGGCACATTCTATTATTTGGATCCATTGAATGTACATGTATATTTAAATAGATTTGATGTCAAAGGTCACTGAGAACTGTATAATGTACAGCAAGGATCACGTCTAGTGTGTCATGTAGATCACATCTGTAGTAGCATGAATAAAACCATGCAGATAGGAAGTAAAACTGATAGCTTATAAGTAATAATCCAACACAAACCTGGATGAAACTTCTTAAAGTGTTTCAAAAAGTCCTTTTTATTTTTCACTGGTCTCTGACACAAACGGCAATTCCCCCCTTTAGCCTGTGCTGGTCTACAACTGTAGTTATGATCATTGTCAATGTCTTTAACTTGTGGAGTGATGCTCATCAATGCAGTTACGTCAATACACAAATCTTCATCTATAGGTTGACAGACTTGNGAAGCATTCTACATGTTCCAGTGGTTTACCATGAAGGCTTATATTTCACTCGTGTGACCAACTTTACACGCCATCTATTGATTTTGGCCAATCACAAGTCTCATAAGTCAACGGCCAATGAAATTCGTCCTCAAAATCTTGAGGACCTCAGAACACGATTAGCAACGGCAAATCACAGACGTTCTCTCCCCGATTTTTTGAGGTTTGTCAGAATGTCTTTAGTGAAAATAGCCATAGATAGTTGATTAATATGCAACATTCTCTTAGTATGCATGCATATTGTATATAATGCATTAATGCAAAGCAATGTCCATATTTGTTGTTGGTTAATGAAAGTTTTTTCAATTGGCACATTCTATTATTTGGATCCATTGAATGTACATGTATATTTAAATAGATTTGATGTCAAAGGTCACTGAGAACTGTATAATGTACAGCAAGGATCACGTCTAGTGTGTCATGTAGATCACATCTGTAGTAGCATGAATAAAACCATGCAGATAGGAAGTAAAACTGATAGCTTRTAAGTAATAATCCAACACAAACCTGGATGAAACTTCTTAAAGTGTTTCAAAAAGTCCTTTTTATTTTTCACTGGTCTCTGACACAAACGGCAATTCCCCCCTTTAGCCTGTGCTGGTCTACAACTGTAGTTATGATCATTGTCAATGTCTTTAACTTGTGGAGTGATGCTCATCAATGCAGTTACGTCAATACACAAATCTTCATCTATAGGTTGACAGACTTGACTTGGTTTTTGTAGCAATTTCTTATGGAGAATACCTCTAACGGATTTTCTGAGAGATGGGCCTGTGTTTGTTTGTAATGCTAAAGGCAATGCAGCTTGAATCATCTTTSTGCTGGTATTGTAGGATCGTTTTGGTTTTCTCTGAGGTGGCTTTCTCTTGGTCACTTTTTTAAACTTCCCAAATCTAGAGGGATGTTTATTTATAAATGCATTAAATGGAAAATATGCTAATATTTGACATATATATGTACACTATAATATAAGATTTGTTTGAAAGTTTACATACTTTGTTCTTGCAAATGTTTTTTGGCGTGGCGGTTGGGCCTGTACGACGACAATATCCTCATTTATACTGCTTGTCTCATTCTCCTTGTATGTAAAAATATAAAAATATATATTCAATGTCCAGCCAGGCAAACATTAAGTGCTGTTTATAAGCATTTGTCATGCAGTCTCAAGCTTACTTTTCCAAATGGTTGTTTTGTTCTTGTTTTTCTTTCCATTTTTTGTTTTATTATTCTGTTTTTATTACTAATTCTTCCTTTGTATACGTGCAAATTTATTTAGCGAAATGAGTTAACATGACCAATAAAATACAATTTTTTTCTTCTATTCATATTTCTTTCTTTCCTTCTTTTTTGTTCATAGATTTTTTAAATTTCTTAATCTATAAAAAATGTCGAATACTAAATTTCACCTGTTTTTTAATAATTATGATCTGAAAGATATTCACACATACAGCTGGAAAGTCATAAATTCTCCTGAAAATTCTTATGAGCTTTCACAGTTTATATTCACAAAAAGAACATAAAAAAATGCTTATTTACTTATCTATAATCTGCACATATTTTTCGAATGAAAACATTTCTATTAAATTTTTCATGACGAGGAATCCGCGTTTTTTAAGGGCGCTTGTTACAGCGGCCATTTTGAAGTTCAGTGCTACCTTAAAAAACGAAATTCCCGCCCGCCACCTCTGATCCTCAGTATTAATAATGGTCAATAAAATACAGACACAAAATCATGAACAACTTAAAAAAGCATAAACTATGAAAGATAACGTTAAAAGCGAGGTTTAACAAAGCAAATTACCCTGGATTTGCAACTCGGAATTTGACTCACTACTTCATGTTGCGAAGGCGCACTCTCATCGTCGGCGCGAACACATTGTTCCGACAATTTTTCGATGATTGAGTGAAGCTTGTACCTAAAAACGTGAAAAATGAGMTTTTAACAATTATACAACTCTTATGCAGCGACAGGAAGTGTGCAAACAAGCATTTTACCCCTTCTTGCTATCCATGTTT